CAGCTGGTCAGTTCTTATTTCAGTGACTCCACATGTGCCACTGCTAAAGAATGAATTTGTTGAAAAACATTCATACCATTACTATAAAAACAGTATTCAACATAACGTCACATCCTCTCTATTCTGCAATAGTTCCTTAAAACTTTTTATATGTTATTATGCATATAAACATGCCCTAAAAATCATAATGAACGAGACTGCATGCTACTCTGAAAAAGATGACATAAAACAACAGAAGCGGAAATTTCTATTTATTTAAGGCAAATGCTGAAATAGGATAGAGATGTCCATAATAAAAGGGAACAAATACACGCTGAACAAGTTTCAGTACTATCAACCAGAATACAATAATACACTACAACTCTAAAGGAGCACCGACATCAAATTTCAATATCGAGATGTGCCCATCACTCGATCGCTTGGTATGCATAGGTCTTCTTGGCCAATTTTAACGGCATTCGTCTCATGGAAGTTACTTTAATTTATTGTCAAACAGCGTAGAAAATCAAAGGAGAAAAAACGAAAAATGGACTGCCCTGCGACATCAACACTAGTGCTACGTGTTCGATGTGATACATTCCGCAAATACCATCCTGAGTGACGATGCCTTAGTAGCTATGACGTGTATGATTTGAGTGTTCTTATCGTGGCATCGAAGTGCAGAAACGCACTCGCTCGTCCACGGCCGGGCTGGGGCGGCGCTAGCGCGCGCAGGTGCAGTCTAGCCCAGCCGTGTCTCGTCGCATTTGATCTTCATTGCACCGGTCTGAATGATTTCGTCAAATTATCAAGATAAAAAATACCTTTAAAAGAATGGCAAAAAAAAGAGCATGGTTAAACGAGTGCTTGTTGGTCAGCATGTCGGGGAATCGTTGCGAGTTGCAAGTCAGTTGCAGTCGTCTAGTTCAAGCACGGAAAAAGCGCAATGAGGGTGTCTTTTCATATCACGTATGTGTTACTTATCAACACAACCACAAGCTATCAAAAGTGGAAGAGCATGTAGTCAGATATCATCACTAACAAGTAACAAGCAGGTATCGTTGAATTTTAAATCATCTGTAGACTTCGCATCCACATAAAAGTGGTAATAACGTGTCAACTGTGAGAGGCTGGATAGATGGGGTCATCTGGAGGCACGAAAAAGAACCTGAAGAGCAGGATTGATTGATGTGTGTGTGGAGTTTAACGTCCCAAAACCACCATATGATTATGAGAGACGCCGTAGTGGAGGGCTCCGGAAATTTCGACCACCTGGGGTTCTTTAACGTGCACCCAAATCAGAGCACATGGGCCTCAACATTTCCGCCTCCATCGGAAATGCAGCCGCCACAGCCGGGATTCGAACCCGCGACCTGCGGGTCAGCAGCTGAGTACCTTAGCCACTAGACCACCGCGGCGGGGCGACCTGACAAGCAGGAAATGTATTCTGGTTCTCTGCTGATGCTCATTCACGATAGCTATATTGCATTGACCCCTTTGCGTATACCTGAATGCTTTGCATGCCAAAACACACCAATATAGCTAACTGAGACACACGAGCGAACATGCCTGAAGCGTGCATCCTCGGATACCTTGGCAGTGCTGCTTGGAACAACGTCCATTTCGGAATCACTGTTCTGAAAAAGGTCGATCGAAGCAAAAATAATTTGCGACGTCGCGAACCGTGGGGATTCCAAGCTCCAGGAGATCGTATTGAACCCAAGTCGACACTTTGTACGGCGACGACAGCAATGCAGGTGACGAAGCATGACTGAATGTGTCCGCCAAGCAGACGAAATGTTTGCGGAGCAGCTGAGCCTCACGTCACTCTTTTCTGTGGAGAAGTGGCCAGCTGTGGAGGTAACCGCGAGGTAGTGCCACTGCTGGTGCTCCCAGCGCTAAAAATGGCGGTATTGCCGGCTATTTTTGAATAGTGCTAGATCCCAGTAGTATAAATCAATAAAAGTGATAGTTATTCCTCCCTCAGTTGCATTTTAGGTCACGAATCGCTGCTACGGGATCTATAGCTACTTGCTGACGCAAAAATCTTGGCATAAGTAAATTTGATGTCAGTGCTCCTTTTATATAACGAAATATCGATTATAATGAAGTAGACAAAGAATAGTCTTGCAATAGATAGTTTGTTACGAATACACTCAAGCCTCAGTATAGCCAAATGAGATATAACAAAGTATCAATTTTAACGAAGTAAATGAAAAATTGTTTTGCAGTAGATATAGTGTTATAAAGACACCTTTATAACAAATTTTCATATATAACAAACTTATTGTCGTTTCAGATACAACTTTGTTATACTAATAAGGTTTGAGTGTATATCTTAAAAGAAATTTTCGGATAGGATGAACCTTTGTGTGAAATGCACTTTCATTATAATGAGATTGGAGTGTATTCCCTAGAAATGCTTTCACACAATTGTATGAACTGAAACACTTGTAACACATAAAACTGAACTCGTGTCTTCAGAAATACGTGGAACAACAGTAACAATAAGGTGGGGAACAAATACACCGAAACAAAGTGAATGAATGCATGAGCATAAGAGAAAAACATGAAATAATCACGTGTACAAGGCTAACCATCGACAGAATAGGTTGCAAAGATGCAAGGTCAATTTACAAGATGCAGTGCTCAACAAAAATAATCTAAGATATTAAAACAATGCAGACAACAGGTGCTCATATTATCGAGTTTGCCACCCAAGGTCGGTCTCACAGTCCTCCAATGTTTCAAGACAGATGCCTAGAGAGATAAAAGAGAGAAACAATGAATTACCAACGGTGAAAATAATCACAAGCATAGTCATCAAGCCCACAAATATTGTTACTTAATATAATGCCATAATAGATAGTACAAATTTTGAGCTAGCTATGTCATCCAAAACAGGTCTTGTTATATGATGGTCATTTGTTTATTGAGCACTTACTGTAGAAGTCTGAGCTAGGTGCTTTTTTCATGCACACTATAGTTGCCCTAACATTGCACTGTTTATAGAGGAATTTTCTAAGAACACATTCTTATGTGTGAACGACTCAGACCTAAAACACAGTGTAGGGCTAAATGGTAAGCAGTTGGTGCAGCATCTATGCTTCCTTAGTTTGAGCCATGTCACTATGATGCATCTTGCCGTTTCATGCAGGAAAGACTTTGGTGATAACCTTAAAATGAAAGATTGAAATAGCAATCAAGCTTTTGGCAGCAAATAGCAAATCAAACTTTCATGCTTGTTGCTGCTATAAATGCTGTCTGCGAAGAGCCAGAGGGAGAAGCCAACTTCACTTAAATTAGCCATAACAAAAAAAAGAGAGAGAAAGGGAGGGAAAAGAAGAAAGAGTGATAAGTGCACAAAACTGACACTTTAAAAAACATTTCCATAGTTGGAAAAAAGCTTCTTTGTAGGTACTACTGGATGCACTAAACTTGAAAAATGTTGCACAATGATGACCCAGCAGAAGAAAGACTTACTACGGTATCTCTGCCCAGCCCAGAACTATTTGTTTCTTATGGATATTCCTCGTATAATGGATTTAACATTTGTGCAAAACCAACTAAATAAAAGATGATGACATCATACATGAACAAACACAAACATCCCTCAATGACTGGAAACACCAACTTTGACAATGCAAGGGCTTCTCGCATTGTCAAAGCGAAGTATTCTGAGGAAGCCTTTTTCGGAATGGAGTTTACTAAGCTGTCGTTGCCGCCATAATGTCATCCCTTCTCTGAAATCGCTCTCCTTTCAATGTCCTCTTGAGTTTGGGAAACAGCCAGAAGTCGCAAGGGGGCCATATCAGGAGTGTAAAGAGCTTGTTGAACTACACGAGTCTGACTTTTCGGCAAAAAAATCTGAACCAATTATGAGGAATCTTCAGACGCATTGTCGTGATGGATGCGTAAGTTTTCTGTTGACCACATTACAGGTCTCTTGCGCCACGCAGCATCACGTAGGCGACGGAGGACATCTCTGTCGTATTCTTTGGCGATTGTTTGACCCTGTGGTGCGTACTCGTGGTGTACCACACCGCGGGAGTCAAAGAAAGCACTCAGCATCACTTTGATATTGCCGCGAACTTAGCGGGCATTCTTTGGTTTTGGCGATGTGGAACGCTTCCACTGTGATGACTGGGATTTGGTTTCCGGGTCGTACCCGTACACCCAAGACTCGTCACCAGTGATAATGGTGTTCATTAGGTTTTGGTTACTGCTTGTAAAATCTAGCATGTCCTGTGAGACTTTAACACGAAGTTCCTTTTCCTTCACCATGAGCAGTTCTGGCACGAATTTCGCTGCAATTCCCTTCGTGGCCAAATCTTCGGTCATAATGGAATGTGCAGAAAAAGTGCTGATGCCCACCTTCTCTGCGCTTTCTCGGATAGTCACACGGCGGTCCCGCATTACCACAGCATTCACTTCAGCAATGACCTGGTCATTTCGGCATGTTGATGGCAGAACGGAGGGTGGCTCGCACTGCACCGATATGCAGCCGTCTTTAAGGGAGGACGTGGCAGTGAAAATTATCTTATTTATTTATATATAGATATATTGATGAAGTTTGGTACACTGATAAGATTTGCTATGCTGACATCATAAATGAAATCAACTTTAAGATATCTAATATAGTTTCTGAGTTACAACATTTGATAGACCTTTATAATCATACCTTAATAATTGGTTAATTAAACTTAATTTTGGTAACATATTTGTTTACACACATTCAGCAATACCCAGTGTGTGCCATAATGCTATTCGTTTATTTTTTATATGTCAAAATGAGCACAGCAAAAATTTCTGAAATGTCTTATGCATGTTTTTTTACTGACAACTTTTGCAAAAACAAAATTATAACATTTTCATGACTTGCAGGCAAAAATGAATAGCGTTACTGCGCTCACCATTGTTTCAGAAGCTAGGTTTAAAAAACAGAATGATTTTAGCTTCATTAGTTATGAAGTAGCACTGGTACGACCGATAGCAACTTTACAAAAAAATGGAAGCTGAGAAAACGGAGCTCAAAGTTTTATTACATGAAATCAGTTTAATATTAGCTATGCGCACCAATAACCTGCCTGTGATGTAGTCCTTTGCCTTTGAAGGCATTTTCTTTTGACTTCATGTCAGTTTTACGCTTCCTTGGAGCAGTTTAGTGCACTTTAGTTGACTTCTTGATGCACTGTGCATCCTTTTCAGCAGCCCGCCGCGGGCAGCACGTTCCTGGAGTGTAGCCAAGCTGTTGGGTAATTTTTTGAAGTGCTTTACCCCCCAGCCAGCATTAAAACGGCAAACTGCATCTGCCACAGCACTCTCACCAACTGTGTTTTGGACTGGAGCGACCAAATCACAACATTTAGTGACTCGATGGCGTTTTGAGTTGTTCTTTGCTGGCATCCTTCCAGAAGTTTTCTAGCAGAAAGGCACTTACTTGTATATAGGCAGCAGCCCTGCCCAAACATGTGCAGGAAGCTGCAGCTAGTGTGCAGGTGCTGGTTCTTCTGAGGCTGCCACAGCATTAAACTTGCACCATTAGCTGACTCCAGTTGGACAATGCTCACGGTGAGGCTCTTTATCAGTCAATGTGATGTGGTGAAAAGTAGCCATGATAGCCTTTTGCATGGCAGGCACATCATTTAAGTTACTTTTGATAGCCTATTTATGACAGTCCGTGAGTTCTTTAATTAGGCCTTGCGAGAGGCGGCCTCTTTCACTCATGCTGATCTCTCAGTCCTTGCTCTTGTTTTGTTTTTCACGAGGTTGCACAAAGCTGTGCCCATTCTTTCCGTAACGCGATTTACACATTCTTGCTTGTGAATGGGTATGAAGCCATACTCACTGGGGGTGGGAAAGGTGCGGCTATCACCATCACAAAGGACGCTTGTATAGCAGAGCTGATGTTTTTTAAGTGACCGCTGAAACGTGGTCTTTGCTGCAATCGTTTCCATTTGCCCAGCATTCGCTTCTGTGTTTTTTTTTGTTTTTTGTTTTTTTGCACTGCAGTTTGTGTTTTCCATACCACTCCGAGTATCCACAGTCTTGAGGCTTTGGTACAAGAGTATAGCCCTGGCAGTAGTTGGAGAGAACAGTGGTCCTGGACAAGGCCAGAGTATAACTCGATGGCACAGCCAAGACCAACGTGGCTTGTGTGACCCCTCGTCATCCATGTGCCATTATAAATGACATCAATGTTCCCAGGGGCACATCCAAGATCCTGATATATCTGTCACACTCTCTTGGCACTTGCCGCCTCTATTGCTGTGGCTGCTGATGCAGTGGCAAGGTGACTACGCTTGCAGTGAAGCCTCCTGTATGACTTGTGATGTAAACCCCAATGTGATATGTCCATGTGGGAAAAAACATCATTCAGTGCAGTTTGATATTTGCCCACAGACTGCACAGCTCTCACGGCACGTACATTAATTTCAAAGGGGTTGGTCTACTGAGGGCCAGCACACCTCTATGGGGACGAACACTTTTTACTTATTGTACCATAGTGGACGCATATAACTTCCATTTTTGTAGAGAGCCCAAGATTAGGTCCAGTTTCAAGACAAACTGGGGCCCTCCCGCACTGGTGGCTGCGAAATTTCGACAGCAGCTTATTCATCATCACCTTGTTTGCAACAAAAAATGATGCCTCGGGAGCAACATCATCGTCACTTTCGCCATCGTTGAGTAGCTGAAATTTTTTCTGTGTCACCAGGGTTGCGTTCAAAGTGTCCGCTCGCGTCTCTTCCCGCCGCGCAATCTCTTCATCAGTGAGTGTTGGTCCCGAAATCCTCTGTAGGATACTCGAAGCGCGAACATCTGTGGTTGCTCGCAGAAGCGCGGTCAACAGCGCACGCGTACCCGTTAATTCGGCACGTGAACACATCAACACCACACGCGGATTTGTCGGCACTGCAGAGGGACGAGTCTTCAACGCCACACGCGCCGTCAACATGGCCCGCAGCCAGGCCGTGACCAGCGCAAACGGACGCGCCTGTGGACGCGCTGTCGCACACGAAGGAGCTATACCGATCTACTGCGGGCACCGGCTCTCTCTGCTCGGCGAGGTCAGCGGAGTTCGCTCCTGTGTCCCGTTTTCTCCCCTTATTCCATGACATTCGCCGTTTTCCGTACGCGTGGACCGTTCGGTACTTCGCTCCTCTGGAGCTCATCGCAAAACACACGCGCGTCGAGCTGCGCCGATCAACACAAGAATGAACAAACCACGCCGCTGTGCTGTGCCCCCACAGAACACCTACCCATAGCCTCCTATATTTTTTTAGGAGGCTATGACCTACCGGGGGTGCAACCGGTGCTACATCATAGGTGTTATGTGGCTACATGGAGGATTCCTTCCTCCGTGGAGGCACTGTGCCGTGCTCCCGATCGGGTTGCAGAAATTAGGTGCCTTTTCTCATCTTCTAACCACTACCACCACCACCTCCGTGGGGGTGCTATCACCAAGCTATTTTGGACCACAGCCTCCTAGATTTCTTTTGCCTGCCGGATTATCGGCGGTCACTTCGAAAACACCCGCAGGCGGAGCTGCAGTACTGGCGCTACTGAAGTAGGGTTGTCTTCAAAAAAGTGTTTACGTTTTTAAAACTTATATGCAACAAAAATAACACAAAAACCCATAAAAAGCGCAGACGTATTTATAATTTAGTGTAATGGTATTTTAAAATAAAAAAGTTGTTGCGGGATTTTTTGAAAGGAAGCGCTACTTACGTATAGTTCTAAAGCGCGTTTTTTAAAGGTTTGCGATTACGTGTTAGTGTGAGCAGTGACGATAGTTATAGCGCGAGAACAAAACGACGACACAGAGACAAGAAGGATACACTTGTCTCTGTGTCGTCGTTTCGTTCTCGCGCTATAACTATCGTCATGCCATACCAACTAGCCCAAGCTGTCACACTTCTATGTGAGCAGTGGTATGAGTGGGGCTCCAACAGTCACTTGTGGGTTAACTATCACAGACAATGTCGGTGATAGTGACGTTTGACATCAGAATGAAATGTTTATTGCTTTTCGTTGGTAATTATGCGATCAGCAAAAGAAAAAAAAAAAGAAAGAAGCCCGTGCATTTCTAAAGATCGCGTATTGGTGCTACAGAAAATACTTGAAAAGAAGCGCGAACTCAATTTCAGTGGCCTAGCAACGGCCTCCGCGCCGTACTCTCGTTTCCAGGTTGCGCCGCCCATGACCTACTACACTCCTGACCTGTTCAGATAGCGGGGTTCCTATGGGAGCGCGTGTCCCCGCTCTCGTTCAATCGCTCGCCGTAGGTGGCGCTACCTATAACCTGTTCGTCTGCTACTGTGCGGCCGGCAGGAGGGCGACGGACTGATACCATGCGTCTGCTTCTGTGACAAACTGCCTATACGTGTGATTGTTTTTTGCTGAAAAGGCTAACGTGTGCTATGTGTTACATTTTAGTAGTTAGGCTATACTGGTTGATTGACTTCTAAAGCTGTATATTTGCGTAGAAATGTCTTGCTGCATGGTTGTTTTTGCCATTCCAGCCTAAAAAAACTTCAATTTAGTATTCATAAAGCTTTTGACTAATAATGTACTCATTGGTAATAGAATATCAAACTGATTTTAGGTTGTTTAGGACGCGTCAGGTGAAACGCAGTGCCCCTGTTGAGCACTTACCTTGGACACTCGCCCTGGACAGGTGTTACACTTGTAGTCAATTGATAGAAGAGAATAATGCACATACGCCCACGGACGCATATCAAGGAGAGACACAGGAATTGAAGCTTTAACTCTTACTGTGACCTACACAACAAAAATTGTGCGTCAAATTTCGCTACGGGAGTTTGTCTGCTGGAACGGGGAGCGCTGGCCGATGCGCGTTTCTATGATTTTATATGTCCGTGCGATGAGACGATATGGTAAAGGCAGTGATGTGCCTATCGAGGGCAACACATTGCGACCCCAATAAAGTTTTATCGTCATCATTATCATCATCTTGTCGAGCATAGTTAATAATAATAATAATAATAATAATAATAATAATAATAATAATAATAATAATAATAATAATAATAATAATAATAATAATAATAATAATAATAATAATAATAATAATAATAATAATAATAATGTTTTATTTTTCATCAATAGTTTGATGAAGGACAGCGGCAGGTAAAAGCTGCTCTTCGAAAGAGGCAGCTTGACATAGGCCCACAGACGCCTTTAGCACGACAGCACTGGCAAACAGTTAGCAATGTTATCTAAGCAACAATTACAAAAATATCAAGTTCAAATTCTAAAAATAAAAATAGCAACCATGATAACAATGTAGCAACTGCAAAGAAATCTTGAAAACTATACATGTGTATATCGTGCAATTGAGTTCGGGTACAGAGTAAGAAATCTATGCCAGCTTTCACATATTTATCAATTAACGTAGAAACTGTGTAGAACAACCTATCTGTGGAGTAGTTTGTTCTCGAAGTTTTTATTTTCCATGTTTCTTTATGTCATGTTTCGAACAAATTATTTGGCTGCAGTTTCGAGAGGTCGTACAAATAATGTCGACTTTCTTGAAATTGACGCCTGACCACCAATGCTAACTTAAAATCGTAGAGACGATGTAGGGGTGGTATTCCAGCCTGTTGAAACAATTCACTTCTGCGAGCATCATACGACCAGTAAAAAATTATTCTAATATACGTCTTTTGCATCAGGTACAGTTTTTGTAAGCGCGTGTTAGTCGTAGTCCTTCATACCAAGAAACAATAAGCAAGATGCCAACAGAACAGTCATTTATAAAGTAAGAATTTTACCTTGTATAGTAGAACAGTTTTGCCACTGTACACCGTGCCCTCTACGCGAGATAACTGACCCAGCACACTGTAAATGCGATCGTTTCAAAGCATATTGCTCGAAAATGTAACTCCAAGAATTTTTATACAATTTACTAACTCAATAATAGTATCGCCATACTTGAAATGTATGTTTTCATTAACAGACTTATTTTTAGGGCGGAATAGTACCGCCTTTGTTGTACTAGTGGTTATGTTTGATTGATAGCGCCCAAGGGCGACACCCGCAGTTGGGGCGCGTACACATGCTGAAAATGTGCCATTATACTCGTTTGTCAATGAAAAGCAGATCCCTCAAAGTGATATCAAGGTTTCTGCTAAAAGAATTTGGCGAGTGTATGCGTGTGATTCGAGCAATGTTACAGCACTTCAAAATGAAACAAAACACATTTGTCGCTTTACTTATGCGTGCCACAATATGCCAGTTAAAGCTGATGTTTCAAACAAAGTTTCTGCACTTTCGAAGAATATCCTACTTGCTGGCACACAGTGACGGCTTGTGTCTGCAATAAAGAAAAACATATGTACGCGTACAGAGCTGCGTGCATTTGGGTCATAGTTCAATAAAATGTGCTAGCAAGGTTCTGGGCGCGTACATGATACAATGGAGGCATGCAACTAAACTTTTAAAATCTTGCGAGATTTTGGCTTTTCGGCTATTCTCTTTCTCTTTCCTTCTTTGGCTGTTTTGTCCCGCACGTAGTTTGAGAAGAAAGGACGGCTAAATTTTTGCAACACTAGCCGCGCCATGGCTTCTCGGTGCTCGCTAGTAGCGCCTTTATGGCTGAAAAGAGGGTTCAAGGCCACTGCAGGTAGCACAGTTTGCACAAAAAGTGCCATCGGCCTCTTTTTGGAAATGGCCAATGGCGCAAATGCTTCCGCGGCCCTTTCTAGAGTGCTCACAAAGGAAAGAAATGAGATCGTTGGGTATGAAAGCCCTCCCCTGTCTAAATTAAATATCACAGCAGTAGCTGGTCCAGATGAGCTGGGAGCCTTGATTTTGCCGATGCAGTCGTCGCAAGTAATGCAATCCTCAGCTGCTTTCACCAGGAAGCCCGCTATAAGGCCAAGCGTGCTGGCCCTTATGCCTGGCTGTGGGGCACCTGTGGGAAGGTAGAAATGAAAAGTGTGCAAGAATTTTATCAGTATATAGATAAGCATGCATGATTAAACCGACACGTGTCCGTATACAAAATATGAGAAATATATATATATATATATATATATATATATATATATATATATATATATATATATATATATATATATATATATATATATATATATATATATATATATATATATATATATATATATATATATATATATATATATATATATATATATATATATATATATATATGGATGTTAATGCGCTTTCAGATAACAACTGTTGCCCCACCGCGGTGGTCTAGTGGCTAAGGTACTCGGCTGCTGACCCGCAGGTCGCGGGACCGAATCCCGGCTTCGGCGGCTGCACTTTCGATGGAGGTGAAAATGCCGTAGGCCCGCGTTCTCAGATTTGGGCGCACGTTAAAGAACCCCAGGTGGTCGAAATTTCTGGAGCCCTTCACTACGGTGTCTCTCATAATAATATGGTGGTTTTGGAACGTTAAACCCCACATATCATCAAGATAACTGTTCATTCAGCCGACGTTTGCGTCGGGAGAGCCCCGTCTTTTTCAAGGTATAATAATATTTACACATTTTCCGCGTCGATTTATAGCTTGTCACGACAGGAGGGAAGAAGTCCGGAGAATAGTATAAACAACAACATAAAAAAAACTGAGGGAGAAACGTTTAAAAATAAAAAAAATCTAGGAGAAGAAGCAAGAGAAAGACGACGGGATTAGGAAGGGACAGCATCTCAAGAGAGTAAGGCGAACGCAAACGAGCCATGCCATCATCTGTGTGCCAGTTATGACAGCGATTCAAAACCGCCGAAAATTTCTTCCCCGATTGCGGGAAAGGGACGTCGGTTAGTCGAGTTGTGTGGGCGCCTGGTGAAAGCATGTTATATTTTTAAATGTAAGCCATAGTACCTGCTTGTACCATGGACTTATCGTTACATACATACACAGTATAACTGATTGAGAAGCATGTTTTCATCTACATCGTGCACTGACGCAAACGCTGCCTCACGCGGCTTGCATGTAACACAGTAAGCAGCGCAGAGTTTATAATATATGCATAATATCGTATAGTGGGGAATTGTTGGACGGTGTGTAATAATTTTTAAATAATGTAAATCATTCCATTACACGGAATCAACGAGATATGAAAAGCGCACCACGGCAAGTCTGCAGGGCTTCTAGATGTGGCCGCATCGTCTGGGTTATAGTAGCAGATGTCGATGCCGCGCACTCGCCTGACGACCCTTGATTCTGGTTTACTAGCGAGTGCATTTCCAGAGGTTGTCCGGCTTGCTTTACTGCTGTGGAGCACGACGCCTGCCTTGCACTGGGCGATCCAAGAGGAGACGTTGTTTGCTCTGTACTGCCGCTTGGTGATGAGTGCATCATTCCCATCACGAGGACTTTCTGCAGTGATGAAAGCGCAGCACGGGCGTCTGTCTGATCGT